CCATGCAAACTGGGCTGGTTTATGGAAGATGGTAAATTGAGACCTGTCTTGTCAGAAAAGCAGGCTGCCCCTGAAGCAGTTGTTGAGCTTATCAGATGTACCTGTTCAATAAGTACATGTTCAAATATATATATATATATATTGAAGACATACTGAAAAACAACAATCAGCAACAGCTTGATATATATATATATATATATGTATATATATATATATATATATATATATATCACATATATATTATGGTAATAACCATTAACAGCATATGGCAATTGCATACAACTAGCTCTATCACACGTTTTTGTTTTACAGTACAGATCGTTTATTATTATATTAATATACGTATGCTAAAAAGCTAAAATAATGGAAAATGGCAGCCATTTTGAATTGTAATAGCTCAAAAATGTGTACAATATTTAGTTAACTGTTGTTGTCATTGTTATGAGTGGATTTCCAATTGAATACTGCATTTTAATGGCATAAATTTACAATATTAGGGACAATTTTAGGAAAAATTGGCGGCCATTTTGAAACGGCTGGCAACCCCTCTTACGTATGAAAAAAAATGTTGCACATACTTTTTTGATTTATCTGTGTCTACTCTACATCATATCCAATTTTTATAAAATATAGCAAAAAAAAATGCAACCTCTGATATTGCTACATTTCGGACTGGACTAATAATTAAATATGATTAAAATGTGCGTTAAAAAATATGGTGTCTTTGACATGTTCTACTTTAGATGTTTTTTGTTCTAATCTACCTGTTGTTACGGGTGTTCCTTGCCTACGATTGGTTGTCAGGCAAAGACTCATTTATACATATCACGCGCTCGCTTATGCTTAATAAAGCGCGAGTGTGTAAGTACATTTTCGTGCGAAGATCGCTTAAACGCAAAACCTCAAGGCTGCCCCATTGGTTAGGAATAAACACTAAGAAGTAATAAATCTATATCAAAATATCATTTATCAACGATCTTCAGAACACTATTCATTTTGCTGAAGTATCAATGTGAAGGCAAATACAAGTTAAGTAGGCTTTTGAACTTCCATATCAAAAGATCGTCCTCATCGATGAACTTAATTTCGTAACGTGAGACTTATCTAAAAGTAGTACTGTATCAAAGCATGATATCAATACACACATCAACAATGATTTAATATCATAGAAATCATGCTTGGTATTAATGTTGTATTTCAACATAATGTTAATCTACTTATTTTCAAGACTTTCTAATAATTTTTATTATGTACAATATTGTCTCTATTTTAGGGTTCTTGGGTACTATAAAACACTACTACTAGATGGGAGGCTATTTTTGTATGTGGGCCTACGTCAATGAACCAGTTAGATACGTGTATTCTTTTGTGCACCGCAATAAATTGATTGATTGGTCGATTAAATGTCATTTAATTAATTAGTTGGTCGGTCGATTTGGTCGCTTCGGTTTGTTATTTGGTTTAGTTAGCTGGTTGGTTGATTGATTCCATTGGTTGGTTGGTTTATTTATATATTTATTCTATTATTTAATTGATTGATTGATGGTATTGATTGATTGATGATTTTGATTGATTGATTGATTGATTGATTGACCGATCGATCGATCGATCGATCGATCATTCATTCATTCATTTATTTATTTGTTTGTTTATTTATTCATTGGTTGGTTGATTGGTTGGTTGATTCATCTTACAAATCTTCATGACTACAGGTGAGCATCTTGTGTGGTTGGCGTGGCTAAGTAGTTCATGACTTCTTTCGCTTATATCTTTCACTGTTGCTAAGCGTCTCAATGCATTTTCAACATTAGTCGCTTTATAAATTCATAATAATAATGATAATAATAATTATAAATCAATACTTTTGCTTTGGGAGCGCTTTATCATATGATGGCTTTAGGATGGATATATATCCATGCTAATTGAAGACAGTCCCTTACACTTTCCGAAGATTGTAATGCGTTCTTTAACGTTCACATGGGCCATATTGACAGGACGGACCAACGGCTTAAATATAGGCTACCGTATCATTTGAAAAGCGGTGCGCTATCAAACTTGTATTTCAGCCCTTCAGCTAAAACACAAAGAAGAGCAGCGCACTATGGAATTGAACCGGGGACCAAATGATCTTCACTGCAGGGACACGGACGTGCTCCCGAACGCGCTGAATCTCCCGTGCCACTTTGCGGCCCACCCGTTTGACCGTTTGCGGAAATCATTATAACTGTAACTGTCAGAGAAAAATGATTTGATAACTTATAATTACATGAATTTGTAGGCGACAAGTAGTTTGATTAAGGTTAATTAGATGGACAGATGTGACGCCATATGCATCAGGGAGATAGGTATAAAGTATAATAGAACTGGGCCATGAAACTATCACACGCTTTAATTAAGATGAATAGGCATACACACCTTGAAGCGACCGGGTTGAATATTCTACAACCCACGAAACAAACAGGTTAATGTAGCATTTGTAGTTAAAGTATATCACACGCTGAGTTAAGATGTGTTTACTGTACCTCTGCTGCAGAAGATTGTTATACCTATTTTACGGCTATTGTTGTGTACCCGCACAGTAACCGTAACAGAGTAGCCGGAACAACTCAATTACCGCACATCACAACACAAATATGCCCTCCTACATTTTTTTTTCAAAAAAGGCCTACGCCTATTTGTTTGGCCTACTGAGTTCATTAAACCGATGAGCTACAATAGTCGTCTTAAGATCTCTTAATCTCTTTTCTCAATAATACAACACAGCATTTGATACCATCCATCAGCTACGAATAGCATTAAGCCAGTGGCTTTAGCCTGGGAGTTCATATCTCCCTGCATGCTTATTAGCTCACCGAGAAATTATTTTATACTCCAGTATAATCTAGGACAATGAACGTTATAACATTATTCTTTTCAACCCTAAGCCTTTAAGTCTAACCGCCATGTCCTTCGTCTGAATCTCAACGTCGTAAATTTTTAGCGCACAGGCGTCTTAGTTTAGTGTACACGTTGACGCAAACTCTAAATAGTAAAGCTACTACTACACGCCAAGCGTTGGTGTCGACACGTCTAAAACGTTATCGACTGTATTCCAGTCAACGTACCGCCTACTGATTTTCCTGACCGCTTTTCAATATTTGTGTGTATGCTGACTTTATGGCATCACCAACCTGGTGCCAGCTACTATCGTCTGTTCACCACAGGGAGATATTCTATATTTCATAAAACAACAGTTTCAACCCTTTTTTCTCATTCTCTCGATGGCACTTTCAATTCCTAACAGAAAATCGATTATTGTATAGAGTTATAGAGTCTCTCTACACACCACTTTCCTTTAATACGAAACACAAACACTAAATTAGAGTATGGTATAAATTACCAATTAGCAGCGTATTCCGTCTTTTAGTGAAAGCTGGTAGAGTTGATATCTATCGATAATTAACCACAGAGACTGAAACACGATTACCAAACACCATATAGATTGATTGGTTATTGTAATAAGATGACCGCCCAGCCTAATGGCCAATTGATGATAATCCAGTTGATTAATGGCGTTGGGACCGTCTAAGTTCGTTAAAATTATAGGCATCAAGAATCAATATTAATTTCACATACAAGTTGACCAATCTATGCGACATGCGCAATGCGTGGGCGCACGTACACCAAAATGTGCTTTCTGTATGTTAGTAAATTCATTATGCGCCTTGTAAATTCATTGATTTTACACAAGGTATAAA